GAACACAGAGAGAGAGACCAAGAGAGAAGACCAAGAGACCAGAGAGAAGAGACCAGAGGAGACCAGAGAGAGAACCGAGAGAGAGACACAGAGAGAGAGGACCAAGAGAGAGACCAGAGAGAGAGAGAGAGCCAGAGAGAGAACCAGAGAAGAGACCAGAGAGAGAGACCAGAGAGAGAGAGAGCCAGAGAGAGAGACCAGAGAAGAGAGACCAGAGAGCAGACAGAGGCCAGACACGAGAGAGACCACGGAGAGAGAGACCAGACGAGAGAGAGACCAGAGAGAAGACCAGAGAGAAGACCACAGTAGAGAGAGACCCAGAGAAGAGAGACCAGAGAGAGAGAGAGGCCAGAGAGAGAGACCGTCAAGAGAGAGACCAGAGAGAGAAGAGCCAGAGAGAGAGACACAGAGAAGGAGACCAGAGGAGAGTAGACAGAGCGAGAGGACCCCGCGACCCGCGCCCCTCTCTCTCTCCCACGCGAAGCTGCGTCGCCCCGAGTCGCGCGCCCCCTCTCTCGCTCGCTGTCCCGCGCGGCTCGCCCCGACGCTCTCTCCCCCGCGCTCTCCGCCCCGCGCTCGCCCCTCTCTCGCGCGCGGCCTCTTCTCGCGCCCCGCGCGCGTCTCCCCCGCTAGCGCCCAGCTCGCCAGCTACCCGCTCTCTCCCACGCGCGCGCGCCCCCTTAGCGCTCGCCCCTCTCGCTCCGCGCGCCCCGCTCTCGCGCTCGGCCCTCTCGTCGTTCTCCCCGCTCGCGCGCCCCCTTCGCGCGCGCTGCGCCAGCGCGCTCTCCCCCCGAATTCGCGCGCCCCTCGCCTCTCGTCCCCGCTGACGTCTCGCCCCCTCTCGCTCGGCCCCTCTGAGCGCCCCGCGCTCTCTCCCCTCTCGCGCGCTGCACCCTCTCGGCTGCGCCCCCTCGCCCGTCGCCCCGCGCTGATCCCATCTCTCGCTGCCCACCGCGCTCGGCGCCCCGCTCGCGCCACCGTCTGCTCTCTCGCTGCCCGTCGCGGGCCCAGCTCTCGCTCCCATCTGCAGCGCCCAGCGAGAGAGCGCGGCAAGCAGAGCCCAGCGCGCGCTACCCTAGACGCAGCGCGAGGCAGCGCAGCCGACCGCCCGAGACAGAGACCAGAGATAGATCACCAGATAGAGAGACCGAGACGAGAGCAGCCCAGAGAGAGAGACAGAGAGAGCGAGGATGGCCAGAGAGAGAGACCAAGAAGAGAGATAGCCGAGAGAGAGGACCACAAGAAAGAGACCAGAGAGAGAGACCAGAGGAGAGAGACCAGAAGAGATAACCACAGAGTAAAGGAACCAGAGAGAGAGACCACGCGATGCGCTCGCCCCGCCGGCGCGCCCATCGCCCTCTCCTTGCCCGCGCATCGGCGACCGATAAGCTAGCGCCCCTCTGGTAAGCTGCGCCCCGAGCGAGCCCCGCGAGCTAGACCATCGTCGAGTCGCCCCTCGTCGCGTCCCCTCTCTCGCGCGCGGCCCGCGCGCGACCCGCGCTTAGCGCCCCGCGCTCCCTGCTCCCCGCGCGTAGCCCTGCCGAGCGACCCGCGGCGTGGACCACAGGAGAGAGGAACCAAGAGGGAGGCGCGGACCCGCGCAGAGACGAGCCCATCATGAGAAGATGAGAGACCCAAGAGCGAGAGCACCAGTCGGAGTAGAGCGACCTAGAGGAGATAGAGGCCCCGCGAGCGAGCCGCCGAGAGCTCGCCTCGCCCCGAGTGCGCGAGGACCAGACGCGATGAGCCCCGCAGACGCTCGACTGACCATCTCGTGCGCGCTCGGTCCCGCCGCAGCCCCGATCGCGCCGCCTAGCGCTCGCTGCCCCGCGCGCTGCCCCGCGCGCTTCGCCCCGGCAGCTCGCGCGCCCCGCGGCGCGGTCGCCCCTGCTATCGGCTCCCACCTGCGGCTCTGTCGCTCCCTGGCGCGCTCTCGCCCCCCGCGGCGGCTCCCCACGCCGTCTCGGTGCTACCCGCTCTCGCGGCCCCGCGCGCCGCTCTCCCTCATCGAGACCCACGTGCGCGCCCCCCAGCGCTACGAGCCCAATGACTCATGACCAGGAGCGCGCGAGCTGGGGGCCATAGAGAGGGACCAGAGCGACGACCAGCGAGGCGCGGCCCAGCGCGGCGGCGGCCCCCATAGCTCGCGCCCCTCGCTCCCGCGCTGTTCCCTCCTCTCCCCGCGGCGCGCTGGCTCTCTGCCCGCTCTGGTCGCCCCCGATGTGCGCTCGTCCCGTCGCGCGCGCTGCGTCACCGGCGCGTCGCCCCGCGAGCTCGTCGCGCGACGCCCTCGTGCCATAGCCTTCTCTCCCGCTCGTGCGACGGACCACCGAGAGCTCCCACCGCGAGACGCGACCCAACGCGCGCCCCAGCGCGATGAGGCGCCAAGAGGAGCCCCGAGCGTCTCTGCCCCACGTGCTTCGCTCGTCCCGCTTGCGCGCTGCCCCTCGCGCGCGCCCCCGCGCGCGACTACGTCCATCTCGGGCGCGCCAGCGGCGCCGAGCCTCCCGGAGCACGCGCCCAGCGCGCGGCCCAGATCGCGCGCCCAAGCGAGGAAGAACCGCGCACAGAGAGAGCGCCAGAGGAGCTAGACCCCAGAGAGAGAGACCATAGCGCTCTACGAGGCCCCCGAGGCAGCGGTCGCCCCCTCCGCGCAGACCCCGTACCGCGCGCAGTCGCTCGCGCTCGCCCCCCGCTCACGAGCCCCGCGCGCGGCCCCGCGGCTCTCTGCGCTCCCTCTCGCGAGTCGACCCACAATGCCCCTATCCCCACGCTGATCGCCTCCCGTCTGGGCGACGTTGCCCGCGCGTCGCCCGCGGCTAGGCGCGTGCGCATCGCATCGCTGCCCCCCTCGGCGCCATCGCCCCCGGAGGCGCCCCTCGCGCTGCGCCCCAGCGCGTCGCGCGACCCCGCGAGCGCGACCCGCGGAGGACGCCCCAGAAGCGACCGGGCGGCAGCGCGGTAGCGTCACCAGGGGCGCGTGCGCGGGAACATCGGCGAAGCGCTACCGCGCCCCCGTGCACCCTCCCTACCGCCCTCACGGTCGCAGACACTGGCTACCATCTAGGAGACGCCAGAGGCAGACATCTTGGAGAGACCAGGGCAGACATCTTGGAGAGACCAGGGCAGACATCTTGGAGAGACCAGGAGCTCGAGGCAAATGTTAACCATTGTTCCGCAGCAAATGTTGAATTAAATGTCTTCGTTCATCATAAAACACATTTCTCACTCTTGCTGTTTGATCGACGAGGCCAAACCCCCAGAATACAGTAAATCCAGAGCTTCCTGCTTCCACAAAGATTGAAATGGATTTTCGTAGCACACGGCCACATATAGTCTTCCCCAAATGCAATCCAATCCAGTTTATTTCCATCGTGCTTTTTAACAACTCAAGCAGATTCCAAAGTGCTGCAGACTGTGAAACATTAGACTAAAGTCCAGGACAGAGGACGGAGGGACCAGCGATCGATCCTCATCGTCGATACTTGTACCATCTGTAATACCAGATTCTTCGGTTTTTCTGCCAACCAGATACCAGAGTTTATCGGCTCCGATCAAAAGTCCACTCTCTTTCCTGTCGCTCGATAAGATAACATAACAGTGTATCTCCTCCCCTCCCACTCCTCAGAGAGAGACGGACTAGAAAGAGACCAGAGAGAGACCAGAGAGAGACCAGAGGGACACAAAAAGACCAGAGAGAGAGAGAAAGACCAGAGAGAGACAAGCGAGAGACTAGAGACAGACTAGAAAGAGATCAGAGGTAGACTAAAAGACCAGAAAGAGACCAGAGAGAGACTAGAAAGAGACCAGAGAGAGAGACTAGAAAGAGACCAGAGAGAGACTAAAAGACCAGAGAGAGAGACTAGAAAGAGGCCAGAGAGGGACCAGTGAGAGAGACCAGAGAGAGAGACCAGAGAGAGAGACCAGAGAGAGAGACCAGAGAGAGAGACCAGAGAGAGAGACCAGAGAGAGAGACCAGAGAGAGACTAGAGACTAGAGACAGACTAGAAAGAGATCAGAGAGAGACTTAAAGACCAGAAAGAGATCAGAGAGAGACTAGAAAGAGACCAGAGAGAGACTAAAAGACCAGAGAGAGAGAGAAAGACCAGAAAGAGACCAGACAGAGAGACTAGAAAGAGGCCAGAGAGACCACTGAGAGAGACCAGAGAGAGAGACTAGTAAGAGATCAGAGAGAGACTAAAAGACCAGACAGAGAGAAGGACCAGAGTGAGACTATAGAGAGACCATAATGACCCCTAACTCCAGGTGAAATGACGGTGTTTACCATCAGGTGTTTTATGGTTTTTCAAGAGTAACCATTAACACTCGATCGTCAACAACACTTTCCTCTGGTTACAGCCTGAACATTAACACCACAAACTCACACCTGTGACAGCTCGAGTGTCAGCCGCTGCTCCTCCTCCCTCTGCTGTTTTTAATTACCTTCCTCACACCTGATATCGTCCTGTGAGCGAGTACACACTGCTTAAATAATGCAGCTGCACACACGCACACACACATACACGCACACACACAAATACAAACCACACACGCGCGCACACACACAACCTTATACACACAAACACACACACTGGCATCTCTTTTCAAACTAACAACTGTTTAAATAATGCAGCTGTAGATCTGTCACACACACACACACACACACACACACACACACACATACACACACATACAGACACACACACACACACACAGACACATACACACACATACACACACATACACACACACACACACACATACACACACACACAGACACATATACATACCAAAGACCGGAGTCTAGACCCCAGACCCGGGTCCCAGGTCTCTGCAGACAGACCTGATCCTCAGAGGGACCAAGAGCAGCTGTTCCCACGGTAACCAGAGAACGACCTGTGAGACGTTTGGAAGGACTTAGTGCACTGACCACAAGACACACACACTCAGAGACGCACACACTCAGAGACACACACCTTCAGAGACACACACACATTCAGAGACACACACACTCAGAGACACATGCTCTCTGGTCTCTCTCTGGTCTCTCTCTCTGGTCTCTTTCTTGTCTCTCTCTTGTCTCTCTCTGGTCTCTCTCTGGTCTCTCTCTGCTCTCTCTCTGGTCTCTCTCTCTGCTCTCTCTCTGCTCTCTCTCTGGTCTCTCTCTCTGCTCTCTCTCTGCTCTCTCTCTGGTCTCTCTGGTCTCCCTCTGGTCTCTCTGCTCTCTCTCTGGTCTCTCTGGTCTCCCTCTGGTCTCTCTGCTCTATCTCTGGTCTCTCTGGTCTCTCTCTGCTCTCTCTCTCAGGTGTCTCACTGGTCTCTCTCTCTGGTCTCCCTCTGGTCTCTCTCTGGTCTCTCTCTCTGGTCTCTCTCTGGTCTCCCTCTGGTCTCCCTCTGGTCTCTCTCTGGTCAGACTGGGAGAGTGACCAGTCAGTGATTAGCAACTGAAGAGAAACCACAATGTAACTGCTTTGAAGCTAAAGTTCTCCTCTTTCAGAACTCACACACACACACACACACACACACACACACAGATACACACACACACACACACACACACTGAGAGACAGACAGAGATCCAGTAACATATGGGGAAGTGGGACAAGAGAAACCAGAGAAGGAGACCAGAGAGAGAGAGAGTGAGAAGAGATCTCCCTTGCTGGTCCCTCTCTGGTCTCTCTCTCTCTGGGCTCTCTCCCTGGGCTCTCTCTCTGGTCTCTCTCTCTCTGGGCTCTCTCTCTGGTCTGTCTCTGGTCTCTCTCTGGTCTCTCTCTTGTCTTTCTCTAGTCTCTTTTCGGTCTCTCTCTGGCCTCTCTCTCTGGTCTCTCTCTGGTCTCTCTCTAGTCTCTCTCTAGTCTCTCTCTGGTCTCTTTCTGGTCTCTCTCTGGTCTCTCTCTGGTCTCTCTCTGGTCTCTCTCTAGTCTCTCTCTAGTCTCTCTCTGGTCTCTTTCTGGTCTCTCTCTGGTCTCTCTCTGGTCTCTTTCTGGGGGGAGAGAGAAAGGAGGGGGGAGAGGAGAGGGAGAGGGGAACCAGTCCATTACCTTGGAGATATACCAGAGAGGGACCAGAGACCGAGACCTGTCCTGGTGTGATGGGAGACCGCCTCCTCACATGGTCCGGGTGTGATGGGAGACCGCCTCCTCACATGGTCCGGGTGTGATGGGAGACCGCCTCCTCACATGGTCCGGGTGTGATGGGAGACCGCCTCCTCACATGGTCCGGGTGTGATGGGAGACCGCCTCCTCACATGGTCCGGGTGTGATGGGAGACCGCCTCCTCACATGGTCCGGGTGCAGTCCTAGACCATGGATCAGTCCCACTCAGACTCAGCCTCAGACCATGGTGAATAGCAGCATTACGGCCCCCGCAGGATTACAGTGCTTCTAAAGGACGCCTCAAAAGGATTAATATTGAATAGTTTGAATAAAAAACAAGTTCTGAAGTTGATAAAACAAACTTTACTGATGTTGGAATGTGCAGGATTTCCTCGGTGTGCCGCAGGTCGCTGGTTTCAGGGTATGGACCTGCTTCAGTCCTGGTTCAGTTTTAGTTTGTCGGAATTATTTCAAACTCACAAAAGACCAGAGAGAGACCAGAGAAAGACCAGAGAGAGACCAGAAAAAGTCCAGAGAGAGACCAGAGAGAGACCAGAGAAAGTCCAGAGAGAGACCAGAAAGAGACCAGAGAAAGACCAGAGAGAGACCAGAGAAATTCCAGAGAGAGACCAGAGAGAGACCAGAGAAAGACCAGAGAGAGACCAGAGAAAGTCCAGAGAGAGACCAGAGAAAGTCTAGAGAGAGACCAGAGAGAGACCAGTGGGAGACCAGAGAGAGACCAGAGAGAGACCAGTGGGAGACCAGAGAGAGACCAGTGGGAGACCAGAGAGAGACCAGTGGGAGACCAGAGAGAGACCAGAGAGAGACCAGTGGGAGACCAGAGAGAGACCAGAGAGAGACCAGAGAGAGACCAGTGGGAGACCAGAGAGAGACCAGAGAGAAACCAGAGAGAGACCAGTGGGAGACCAGAGAGAGACCAGACTCTGTCTTTAGTCTCTCTTTGGTCTCTTTCTAGTCTCTCTCTAGTCTCTCTCTAGTCTCACTCTGATCTCTCTCATGGTCTCTCTCATGGTCTCTCTCTGGTTTCTCTGTCTTTGGCCTGACCCAGGACTGAGGCTGTAGACCCAGGACCGAGACATGGTCCTGACAGATAATTCTTTGATCCCAGAGTAATGGAGGCTCTGTGTAAACATTTCTAATTACCCTCTTCATTATTATGTGCATCTGTAATTTCATCAGTAGTAACCAGGAGCGACACACACTCTCTGGTCTCTCTCTGGTCTCTCTCTGGTCTCTCTCTGGTCTCTCTCTTTTCTCTCACTGGTCCCTCTCTGGTCTCTCTCTTTTCTCTCACTGGTCCCTCTCTGGTCTCTCTCTTTTCTCTCACTGGTCTCTCCCTGGTCTCTCTCTGACCTCTCTCTGTTCCCTCTGGTCTCTCTCTGGTCTCTGGTCCGTGGAGGAGGGGGGTCGTCATCAGGTTGATGTCAGAGGTGTCAGATCTGCTCTGGTCTGTTTCCTCCTGAAGCAGAAGAACGAGGAGAACATGCAACAGCCTGAAGCTTGTATGTGTGCGACCACATGAGAAAACTGAATAAGAATTATTAGAATGGACACACACACATAGATACACACACACACACACAGACACACAGACACACACACACAGACACACACACACACACACACACACACACACAGACACACACAGAGACACACACAGAACACACCTAAATATACACATGCAAATAAATATAAGAACACAGAGAGAAAGACTCACAAACGCACACAAGGAGAGACACACACATGTTTATATACACACACACATATACAGACACATGGAAAATATCGACCAATCAGAGAGCTTTGCTGCAGGATCCGGGAGATTTTTCTGACATTTTAGTTTTTTAAT